CTCCGGGCCGGCCCCGTCGAGGGACAGGCCCGGGCCGCCGCGGCCCGACTTTGGTCAGAGTTCTGGCTGTACCCCCGAGGGTGACTGAGAGGAAAAGAAAGAAGGGGAAGGACGGAGGGGGAACAATGGGGAAGGGGGTGCTGGTCTTTTTTCTCCTCATTCTTTTAAAGGAGGTTTTCGATGAGTTTCTCGAAGGCAGGGCTACCTTTTACCTCCCTATGAACTTCCCAAATTACTTTCGTCGAGGTGCTCCGGACCTGGTTGTGTACTGAACGCAGTAAAGAGTGGGTGACCAGGGGACGTGGGGTTAAAAAAAGGATGGGGAAGACGACTGGGAGGAAGGAGGGAGCCGTTAGCGAGTGGTTTTTTAAGACTTTCCCCTGAACTCCAGAAATAACGTTTGACGTTGTGAGTCGGTATCATGTATATACTGTGTAACAGAGACACGTTTTATGAAGCAGTACTAAGTCTAGCCACTTGGGATGCGCTCAGCTCTTTTCTATAATACATTCCTTTAAAAATGGTAATCGTGACCCCACTAAGTTGATTTTATGACCCACTAATGGATCACGACCAACAGTTTGAAAAAACACTGGATTAAAGCAAAATCATGTATTCACTGAAATATGTGTTGCGTTTCTGCCATGCTCTTGACTCAGACACGATTAAATTCCTGCCTTGAGTTCACAACTTAGAGATACAAGAAACTAAACAAAATGACAGTATCATTTGGGGTGTGTGTGTGTGTGTGTATTTAGTTATTGGGGTGTGTGTGTGTATTTAGTTATTGGTGTGTGTGTGTGTGTGTGTGTGTGTGTGTGTTTAGTTATTGGGATCTGGTAGGAGTTTTTAGTCTCTCTCCAAAATGGTACTGGATTAAAACTGTGTCCTCACATCAGGGAGTATATAATGACTTCATTTAGGAATGGTAAATCTCAACATCCTGCCTTCTCATGGTGTTAAGGATGAAACTCAATACTGTCCTGTTTCTGTGTGTGGAGAAAAACCCTCAGTCAGGGGCTAGACCACCAGGTGTTCACCAGCATGAGGAGGGCATTGAGTGTATCAGCTCATTGCAGGGAGCAGATGGTCCACCTCATGACAGCAGGACTGCCTCCTTTGTGACAGTTTCTTACTTTACACCTGTAAATGAATAATATATGTTTAATTTATTAGATTTTATAAATAAAACTAAAATGAAGTCTGAGGAGTAAAACTGAATTAAGATGGAAAAAGGAGGTTATAGATGGTCAAGAGCAAAAGCAAAGCTGTTAGGAGACAAGGAATCTTTATAGATAAATTACTGGAAAAATATTTTGGTTCGCAGGCAACATAATAAAAGTTGTGAAATCGAAACTCTCATGTATTTGCAGATTCGGGTGCTGTGTTTACATTTGGAAAAACTAAATTTGCTGAAAATACTCCCAGCAAATTCTGGTTTAAAAATGACATACCTATATATCTTTCATGTGGAGATGAACATACTGCTATTATTACAGGTTAGTATTAAAATCCTAAATGAAGATAGTAATACTTAAAGAATCCTAAGTATTGTAGATGTGTTGTGTTTGAAACATGTTGAAAATACACAGAAAGTGGCTTTTTTTCCTTTTCCAAAGAATTCTTGACAAATTGACATATCAAGGGCGTCTTCTAAATTTTAGTTTCCCTTAGTATATTTAAGTGTGATTTTCTATACATATTACTTTCTTGGAATAAATCTATTTATTTATATATATATTTATTTTATATATATATATTTTTATATATATATATATATAAAATAAAAAATGTTACTGTATAATCTTAGAAACTCTACACCTAACAGAATCTGGCTATAGGTAGACGGACAAGGTGATCTGTTTCAACATGTAAAAGCAATGACAGTGTTTAAGTACAGCTTTTTTACTGCATTGTGATGACTTCATCTCATATTACTTTATCTTGAAAATGCTTCAATTTATTATTTCTTTTTCCTTCCCTCCAGGAAATAATAAACTTTTCATGTTTGGCTGTAACAACTGGGGCCAGTTGGGATTAGGTTCAAAATCAACTGTTAGCAAGCCAACATGTGTCAAAGGTTGGGGTCTTTTCTTCCTTAACGCTTTAATTACTAAACTATATAAAGTACTTTTATATTGTGTAGTTCTTTCATATTATATTATGAATGATAAACCCTTTAGTTCTTTATTTTCTGAGATTTACTTGAATATTACTAGCATTTAACTTTTTCATATGGTATTTAGAATTACTTTTATATGTTAGGGTCTAAAAATCACATTGATTTTAAACCCAGAGACCGCAAAAGAAGTAATGATTCTACAGTATTACACATGAACATCCTTTTTTTTTGCCTGTTTGTAAACCTACTTAAATGTCACTGTTATTGCATATATAGAAAACAAACAATATGACATGTTAGGATTTTTAGCTCTGTCTCATTTGTTAGAGTTGTGGACATCATGGTTGTATACAGTTGCCGCTTTTATAAAACACACTTTATCCTGCTGTATAGAGTGAGCAGAAGTGCCGAACAAAATATCACAACTAGGGATTGATTATTACTAGTATTCTTACAAGAACAACAGGACAAAATATTTCCAATTAGGACTGTCCCAGAAAATATGGGACATACAATACCTTTACAAAACTTTCTCCCTGTTATGTGCAAAGCTTCTGCTTGGTTGTAACCTACCAACAGCAATACGTGAATGGCGATGGAGATTCCTTGGGATGTGATAGTAGCTGGATTCTTTATCTTCCTAGCCAAATTTTAAATTTCAGCTCAAAGTTTCAGTATAACTATCATATCCATGCTATTTATAGATATTGTTGTGGAACTTTTAAAGTGTTCTGCTTGTTCAAAAGTATTTATTGAACCATCTACTAAACCATTGGGTTTATTTACAGTGCCTATAATCCTTACTCTCAAATATCTGATAGATAAGCTAGCAGGATTGTCTCTACGAAGAGATCCTTGAGGCCAGGGATTCTGTCTTAGTGATCTTTGCAGCCCCGATGCTAAACATTTAGGAGATGTTCTGTAAATGTTTTTAATATGTAAATGAGTGAATGAAGAACTTTAACATAGGCGTATGCCTATGAGTATCGGACTTGGTGTTTTGTTGCGTGAAGTAGAAAGTTAGCTTGATGATGGTGATGGCAGATTAGGAAACAGATCAGGTCTCAGGTCGGTGAAGAGGCACCATAGCAATGCGGTGGATTGCCGCACATTAATTGCTTGTGGCTTTTAAAAAAATATGTAGATGCCTAGGCCTTACCTCAGAGCAACTGACTCAGATTCTCTAGGGGTGGGGCTGAGCTATCTGTATTTTTCTCAGAGCTCCACTGGTTATTATGATGAACAACTAGTTCTGAAAACTTGATTCATTAGTTATGAATATCACCTTTGGAGTCAGACAGGCCTGGGTTTAAGTCTGTTGCACTACTTGGTTATCATTTGACCTGGATTGTTTATCATTTTCATAATCATAAAATGTCTTAATTGTCGTGTTTTTATATTTTTTAGCTTTAAAACAAGAAAAAGTGAAAATTGCTGCCTGTGGAAGGAACCACACCCTAGTTTCAACGGGTATAGTATTCAATCTGTATGACTTCCTGCCCAGTTTGAGGACTGAGGTCTCACTCCAGTAACATTTACAGCTTTGTAAAATTAACAGAAATGGTACATTGGCAACAATAAGATTAGGATTTTTAAAAATGTAAATGGTTAACACACTTGTTTGCCTATATGCAGATAAATGTTGAGTGGCTGAAGGAAAAGCTTCTTTCCTTGGCTTATGTCTAGGGACGGCATCTCCTTACCTGTGTGCACACCTCAGGGGCAGCTTGCTCCTGATCTTGCTCTTCCCTCTTCTTTTCTGAGGGTGAGTGGAAGCCCTCCTCAAAAGGCTATTGATGTGAGTTAGCACAATCCAATCAAAATCCAAACAGGCTTTGTCTGTGTGTCTGTGAGTGTGTGTATGTGTGTGTGTGTGTGAGTGTGAGAGAGAGAAAATTGACAAGGTGATTCTAAAGTTTGAATGGAAAAGCACGGGACCTAGAATAGCGAAAACAATTTGAAAAGATCAAAATTGAAGGACTTAGCACTACTAGATTTCAAGACCTACTGTAAAGCTAATCAAGACACTGTGCTATTAGTGAAAAGATTAAGACAAAGATTAATGGAACAGAGTAGAGTCCAGAAAAAGACCCACAAGTTTACACCCAAGTGGTAGATGACAGAGGTGCCAAGGCAATTCAGTGAAGAAAAGGCAGTCTTCAACAAATCCTGCTGAAACAGTTAGACATCCAGGCCTTGACCATGGGGCAGTCTTTCCTACCATCCTTTTCCGCCACACAGCTGCTTCTGTCTTCAGGCTCTTCTCACTGCCTCGGCTCCCCTCGCCTCTCTGCCCTCACTTATAATTTTCCTTTGCTGAAATGTCTTTTCTCCTTCTCTTATTCAGATTCTTTTAAGATCCAGTGTAAGGCTTACTTCTCCCATGGAGCTTTTTGTGGCTATTCAGCTTCTTCCTCATATCGTTCTCTGAACTGCTTCAGCATTCTATGAACTCTGCTTTGCTCCAGATGTGTTCAGTTGTGTGGGCCAATTCCATGTGGCCTTGTAGTGTCTTCCATTTGAAAGCTAGTCTTGTTTCCTCAACTGGGTTTCATTTTTTCTAAAGTAACATCTAATTTAAAATTTTTAACTGATTCAGGATGATTTTGCCCTCAGTTTCCACTATAATTTAGTGAGGCTTTAATTTCATGTGCATTTTTATGACAGATATATTTAATTTTATTATGTACGTGTTTATGTTTCATTGCTTTAGAGGTTACTGGCAGTGTTTATTACCTAGGCATGATATACTTCTTATGTGATTAATAAAATAATTAACAAACATTTATATAGTGCTTACAATGAGCCAAATGCCATTCTAAGAATTTTATAAATGTTAATTTAATCTTCATAATACTTCTGTAAAGTAGGCACTATTATTATCCCATTTTACAGATGAGCAAAATACAACACTGAGAGGTTAAGGTTAGCTTGCCCAAAGTTATACAGCTGATTAGTGGCAAGCCAGAATTCACACCTAGGAAATCTGGCTTTGGTGTCCTCTCTCCTAAACACAATGCTATACTGCCTTCCTATTTAGCTAAAAAATTAAAATATAATTACACAACATAGAATTTTCGTGTTTCTAATTATATTCTTCTTGTATTTGCCCCATTTTACTTATATGTTACCTGTTATATCTTAGCTTTAATGGGTATGGAAGTTAAAATTAATGAACCACATCTCTTTTGAAATAGTTTGATTTGGATTATAAATTAATTTGGAAATTACTTTCATCTTTTTTGCTCTGAATTAATAGTACTGCCTAAACAAGAAAATACATTCCACACATATTATGCATTTCAATTGCTACTTAAACTCTAGAATGATTTATGAAATCTCACAGAAATGTAGAGCCTTGTTTGTTTGGCTGTGTTTTTGACACCAAAATGAAGTTCACCAAATTGCGGGATAATGTCAGCTTTCATCTCTCTCCTCTGGTACTAGAGGAACTATGTGGGGTACACCGGCCTGTCTCACAAAGATGGTGGCGATGGTATACTGATATTTTCTTTTCCATGTGCAGAAGGAGGCAAAGTTTATGCAGCTGGAGGAAATAATGAAGGACAGCTAGGACTTGGTGACACTGA